CGGCGCCGGGGGTCGATTCGCAGCGGTGGCGGGAATCGCGTCCGCTTCTCCCACGTTGCAAGGCTGGCCAACTTCGACTCCCCGGCTGAAGTAAAAGAAAACACTTATTTAATACGCAAAGCTTCTGGAGTAAACTCAGTCTCCTTGTACATCTGTATCGCTTGCGGAGTGAGTCGGTACGCTTTAAGCGTCAGGAAACCTCTGGCAGATTTTGCGGTGTCATAAATAAGCACGACCGATTCCTCGATGGAAGTCTGGTAGTGGTACTGCGACTCCAGCAGAGATAGATTCAGAAAATTGCCGACGTCTGCGCTCTGGTACCAACCGACGTGGAAGTGATCAACGTTCACCTATCTCAGTCTTCGCATCATGGCAAGCTGATACTCCTCCTCGTCCATGATCTCGTCGTTCTTGGGAAACGGAAAACAGTTGGTGATCTCCAGACGATTCTGCACGACCAGGCCGAGAAGAGCGCCCTGGGTGACCTCCATGTTGTCGGAGGACTCCTCGTGACAGTGCTTCACTATCTTCATCACCACCAGTCCGTCACATTGCACGTAGTCTATCTATACGCGGCTCCGTCTCGGGAATCCTTCTCGACGTCGCCCTCAAAACCATTTTGACAGATCTAATTTTTTAATCGTAGTTGAAAAGCAATTTTAACCTTTTGTCCTTTCTGCCACGATTCACAAAAAGTAACATAGCGTAACAAATAATGTTCACATAATAATTTTAAATGCCGTAATCACCATAATCTACCGAGCCAGTTAAAATAAATATTAACTTATTACGCGTTGTTAATCCATTCGTCATAACTTTCTCTTTTCCCTTATGTGTAAAATATATATTATTAAAATAGCTACTGTTGGTGGTGTACAATTCTTTTGATACTGTTCTTCTCCTACTATAAATTTCACTGATTTCTCAGCCTTAGACTCAAATTCAACGGTCGAGTCTTCAAGATGTTTCACCCCTTTAAATACCACTGTGGATGATTGTATTTTCATACGTATTGTTTTATTTATTAGATCATAAAAAATTTCAAACTTGTAATGTATTATAAGTGTATCTGTGGAATGATACTGAAATATTAGACGTCAAGATTCTAATTACCTGATATATCACCCAAAATGGAATTTAATAATATAACTGATTCAGGCGGCTACATTATAGTAGTGGTACATGAACCGCTAAATGTTTTACTACTACATATATAAAATTCATTACGCACTTATTTGCGAAAATATGTACACGAAAAGAACTTTATACCTAGAGTTAAAGAAGATATTGCATGCAATTTATTTACGCTCATGTACAAAGTAACGTCGACCACGCAGAAATTATTGATAATGATATATAGTACGGGTACCAAATTCGGTTTTGTGAAGCACAAACGAAAGCAAGAGCATTGCAGAGTTTCTTATTCACGCATCATGGAAATGTACGCTTTTAACACATACGGAAAAAACGGTTTTGCTAAAGTATCTAAAAATTTAACTAATAATTTTGTTGCACCATCAAAATAATTATAGTAGGTCGCTGAAATATGATGATAATGCTGTAAAAAATTAATATTTTAGTAATCAGTTTGATTGTTCTACACATAATTATTTTTATGACGCAACAAAATTATTTTCAGATCTGTATCTAACTAAATTTTTAGATACTTCAGCAAAACCGTTCTTTCCGTGCACCATTCTTCTGTACACCCTTTACAAATATAGAAAGAAAATATCGAAAGATAAAATTGCGTTAAGTCATTACAATGTTAAATTTACGTAAAAATCCATGTACATGGGAAATCTCGAGATTTTTAGAGTCTCTTTTTCTTTCTCTCTCTGCGGTAACAAAAGCTCACGTTTTCACGCCAAACCGTGTGTTACGATATTGTGTTAAAACTTATAATAAACGACCGTTTCGGCCAAACAGATTCGGGAGGCCAAACTTCAACCGATGACATAATGCGCGCCTTTAAATATAAAAAAAAAAAAAATACATAATTATACTCAATATATACAAAATAGAAAACAATAGACGTTTAACTTGTTAACACGTAAATGAATCTCGCGTATCATTAATGTATGTGTACTTGTGCCCTTTTTTTTTTACCTTTTTTGAAAATTACATTTACGTGGTATCATTAACAAAACGATATTTTCACAAGCTTCAACTATTCAGTATATCCGCTGTAATCTACTTTTCATTAAAAAGTACTCTTTCACGAACTATTCATCATATACTGTAGATACCAATAAATTCTAGATTTAGTAAAAACACAAGATAAATGCTATCATTTATCAAAACTCATTTAATCGATAACATCAAAGAAAACATCTCATCAATTATTTCGGCTCGTGCAAAGGGAAATTATTTAATTTTCAGATCCAATTAAGATACACTGTAAATCCAAGTGTTATTTCTACACGTATAAACGTTTAAAAATGACACATTTGACTGAAGCTCGTTTTACATATTTTGTTGCGTGTTAAATTAACACATTTAATCGTATTAATACGTTCAACCATGTTAAATGGCGTCATTTAAAACGGCAAAAAATGTGTAAGAAGAGCTTCAGTTAAAATAACACACTTGGATTTGCAGTGTAAAAGTACCAATACTTAGACACTTAAGAGTAGGTAAATGTACCAATGCCTGGACACGTACCTATATCTAGATATCTTTAAAAATATATATATTTAGGTTTAAATACCATAACTAAAGTTTCAGTCTACAAGAAAAAATATTTTTATCTTTGATTTTAATTCGCGTTATACTAAAGGTATCCAGATATAGGTACATGTCCGGGTATATTGATACTTTTACCTTAATTTCTAAATGTTGAACAAGACATAATATATTAACTTCTTAATGGCTAGTTAAGAAGATATTCGACTTCGAGTATGTAAAGCGTAAAATTTGACTAAGTCCGCATAAAAAATTTTTTTGAAAGTTTCAGGCGTTCGGATAAGAGTTTTGGATAGAACTCCAAGAGTTCTGTGTGAAAGAAATTTCTATGATCGAAAGCGATCTGGTCACTAGTTAAGAAGATATTCAACTTCGAAGGCCTACCGTGAACGTTATTAACTTTTGATGATGATTTTTTAACAATTCTAAGGTTTTGCAATTTTTTACTTATCAGGAACTCTAGAACTTTTCGAAAGGAATCAAATGAGCTACTTAGAACTATTCTGGCTTGAAATGACTTTTTCAATTTTTTTTAAATCAAATTTTTTCTTCTATCAGGAATTCTAGTACTTGTCAAAATACTTCAGAGCTATTCAGAACTATTCGATCTTAAAGTTAAGTGTAAAACTCGGTGTAAAATTAGCACCCCATTTTTTATAGTGCGCCATTGCCTTTTACATAGTGTCAATCGCCGGAACTCTTTTTATAAACATAAAAATACTCCTATTATACTCTTCGACAAGAAGCTGGAACTCTAATCAGAACTATCGAATTTTAAAGTAGGGGTGCCAACTTCACACACCCGCGTACGAGTGTATGTGTATGTGTGCAATGCCGGGATGTACGTTCGCATGCAATCGCAGTTGCGACACGCGAGGGAAAGAAACGCACGAACTTGCTTACTTCCAATACTATTTGAATATTGATACTTTACTGTAGAAATTGATATTGTTTACACTAATACTTTATTTTAGCTACGTATTGATATCATCAGAAAAGTAGTGACGAATAAAAATATGTATATTAGAAAGTACCAGTTTCATGCAAATTTTTCGCGACTATATCCAGTATACTTTGATAATAGATTTAATTTTACATTGTCATTATAAGCCTTTAAATTAATGTAATTTCGAGATCTTTAGTTATAGCAAAAACATTTTATATTAATTATCACAATAGCTGACAATGAGATATCAAATAATCGTTTATTACCAATGAGTACATACACTGAGAAAAAAAAATCGTTGATTCAAAGAAATATTATTTGATTTAACTAAATGCAGCGGTCACGGGCTGTCAAGCAAACATTTGTTAATTCAAAAAATATTATATTGAAATAAATTCAGAATTTCTTAATATTACTCACGTATATTTGATTTAAATATATTAATATTTGCATTAAAAAAATCACTACAACTAAACGAGTTTAGTCAAATTAACGACATTTTTTTCTCAGTGTACCGATGAGTAGATATCAATTAAATTTAAATTTCTAATACGCAGCTTGCGACAAGGGCGACGGACGCGTGTGGAACCGGACGCCTTCCGAACACGGCTCTTAATTTAAGCGCGACATCAAATAAACGCCGTAATTAACCACAAGCGCGATGCAAAAACGCCATGTTCCCTGCATCGAGTCGCATCATGCGTGCGAGATGCGCGCGCGAATGATAGCGTTTTATAGGACGCGCTGGATGAAAGTTCGCGCATAAGAAGCGACCGTCGTAAAATCTCCCTCGCGATTTTCCCTCGAGCATACCGTTCTGAGAGGAGAGCACGTAGCCGACCAGGCTGGTGCGTGTGTTTCTGGGCGACGTGTGCATTACACCTAAGCTCGGTACGTGTTTACACGACGGTGGTGCGGGTTTCTCGGCAACCGCCAGTGAGCTTCGCTGCCCGCATGACTCCGATCCCACGTAAATCAAGTTCTCGAGAGCAAATGCCTTTTTCGCGTTCAATCGTTTAACACTGTTTTCTCTTAAAAATAAATTATTATTACGTATCTATTGTTTGTTAGTTACACACGAATTAATATTGTTTCGCGATTTCGTTTCAAAGAAGCTTTTGTTGTAGACGAAAAGTAGTAGTCTCATTTATTATTTTCGTATGAATGTGTTAAAATTTTTCTATATTATATCAAACTTCATACTTTCATTACAATAATAAAAAATTCAATTTAATAACTTTTATTATTTTGCGTTGTGATTATGATTGGAAATAGTAATTCGGTTGATAAATTTTAAAGAGAAAAATTAGAGAGAAAAATAGTTGTATATATAGTACGACTATATTTATTATATAAATTACTTTCACAATCTATAGAAATGATCATAATGTTTAAAAATAAGATAAAAATAAAAATATTTTTCGTAGACGAAGAAAAAAACGAAAAAATTTTAATGTGACCAGAATTATTCAGTAAGTTCAAAGCTCTTCTGTTTGACGACAAGTAAAATGAGTAAGTACCGGATTGGATTTAACTTTTTAATCGTTCAATTAAATTTTCGAGAATAGCGTATTTCGCGGACGAGAGAAAGAAAGAGAGCAAGCCATTCTGCTCAGTGAAAGGAAGTCATTAGTTCCTTAAATATAAAACCGTGGGCCATAAGATAAGACGCGTCAATTTGTACCCTTCTCGAGACGCATGAAATCCGTCGGTTTATCTCAGAATAATCGCAGAGTTCGATGACATCGCGTGATTACTTCACGGTCACCTGTTTTAATGACCACTGCTGCTCGACTGCGGTCTTACAAATGTACCCAGTACTCTCGTAGCTCGTTTATTTCTCTCGATTTCGAAAGATTGAGGACCACGTGAAAGAATCCATAATTCCACGAAAGATAAGCTGTGTGATAATCGATCAGAAGGTACAAA